ATAATTTATTCCTTTGTTTTCGAGTCATTTTCACTTCGTCACGCTCAACCACGGCTATTACTTTCTTCCCAGACATTTCCTTTGGCCCTACCCCCTCCGACGTGCAATGAACATGTCCCAAGGAAGAGCTCTCTGGCGTGACTAATTGTTCCTTGGTCTCCGAGCGACTAAAATCGTTAAAAGCTACCCACATGTGTCCTGTTCACGGAGAAGTGCAATCGACTCGTTGACTCTTTCGAGATAAGGAATCACACTGTGTCCCAGGCCCTATGGTTCTACGCCTCTTTCTGTGTAGCCCTCATCTCATTTATCACCTCGGCACTGCCAAGGAAAAGGCATGCTGTTTGTGCGGACGATAATGTGCTCCTCAATTCAATTGAGCAAGAACTGAAATGCATCTCAAGTAACCTTTGAATGCTATAGTATTCTGCCCAGAAGCCAGCCCTTCTTGGCAAATAATACATATTTGTCTCTGGGTGTATCCTTCTTCAGCTTCTAAAGAACTATTTAGGTGCACTGATAGTGAGGCAGGCTGGACTATCTTGAAATTACTCTAGAGTCGATTTCAACTATAAACAGATACCATTGTACCGGGATCTTTTCCCTCTGAGCGGATACTGTGAAGGTCTTCTATTTCTGGCACCAGTCACATTATCTCCATCCTCAGACTGTATTGTTTTGGGCGCTTCTTTTTATTAGAAGGTGCTTATTTCTATACTCGTTTGCGGCCGAATGACTCCTAGGGGAGCAGTCCTCGGCATACCCTGATCTACAACCTGCCTTTGAATACACTCGTCTATGAATAACATCAGTATAAGTACTTTCTATGTCCCGTGTCCCTATCTCTCTCTCATGCTTTGACTCTGTTATTGCATCTCTACGATGGCTACTAGCGAGATGAACGGGCATCAGAAATCTTTGAAAGTTGCGGTTGTTGGTGGTGGCATGACCGGTCTAGCGGTTGCTATTGGACTCACAAGGGCAGGGGTCGATGTCGATATCTACGAGGCTGCTGTAAGTATATCCGTTTGAATAGATGACCGCGGCCGCTGACCTCGACGCCTTAAATAAAAGCCGAAGCTCGGTGAAATTGGAGCCGGGGTCGGTCTAGGTAATGTCATTGCTGTTACTTTCGTGTCATGTTTCAGTGAATGAGGTCTGTTAGGTCCGAACGCCATACGCGTTCTCAGGGAACTTGAGATTCTAAGTGAAATCGAGGCTGCTGTGCTTCCTGAGAAGCTCAAACCCCGGCCATTCCGTTTCGTCTTTGGCCTTGGTGAACACGAAGTGATCTTTGATGTACGTATTGCGTGATTATGCTGCACATTCATATTCCTCGGATCTCACAGACTGACGTCCGGACCGTAATACAGTATCCCGAGGATCCCAAGGACGATGCGATAGGGATACACAGGTCTGCAAACCTTGAACCGGTATTCTGAAGTACATGCTGAAGATAACGTAGGGTCACATTCCTTGACGCACTTGTCCATCTCGTCGACGCTTCCAGGATACACTGCAACAAACGTTGCGTCGCTGTCCGCGATCTTGATTCACAGCGTGTACAAGTCCTCTTTGCGGACGGTACTTCCACAGAAGCTGATGTTGTCGTTGGCGCGGACGGTGTCCGCTCTGCTGTGCGCTCGTACGTCGTGGAAGGGTCAACCGAGGACGTCACTACGAACGGTGAGGAAACCAATGGGAATGATATAACCAGATCGAAGTTGGTTCGCGTGGCTTTCACGAACAACACTGCATACCGCGGGTTGGTCCCCGTCGAGCAGCTCAAAGCCGCCGGTGCGAGCGAGAGTATGGTACTTGAATTGAGTAGACGGTTGCACTGTTTCGTCGGGGACAAGAAGGTATCATATCTTCTGACTATCTTTCGGATTCTCCTTCGCTCATTGCAGCTTTCTATAGCACGTATTAACGTTCCCAATTAAGAACGGAACAGTAGTGAACGTCGTCGCCTTCGCAGCTGACCACTCCATACCTTGGGGTGCTCGTCCCGTCCCACCAGACGCATGGGTCACACCGCGCAGCACGGAGGAGCTTCTCAGCAATTACGAAGGCTGGGGACGTGATGTGCGATTGCTTCTCGGTTGCATCGCGCGTCCGAGTGTCTGGTCTGTGCATGCTTGTAACCCGCCGTTGGAGAGTTATGTGAGAGGAAGAGTCGCATTGGTAGGAGACGCTGCGCACGCGATGTTACCGTATCTTGGTGCCGGTGCGGGTCAGGGGCTTGAAGATGCACTTGTGATAGTGAGGTTGTTAACTCAACCGCAGACGAATGCGGGGAATATTCAAGTAAGTACGGACCCTCCCATCTCACTGCTTACTTTCTTCGCGTCTTGTCTCAGCCGGAGGCTGCTTCCATGTGCTCATGTAACCTTCATTTTAAATTACAGGAAGTACTCAAGGCATACGACACCGTCCGCCGTCCGCACGCCAACATGGTTCTAACACGAAGCACGACGATGGGGTACATTTACGAACTGCTAGGGCCCAGCGGACCAAGTAAAGAAGGCATTCGCTCAGATCTTGAAGAGAAATGGGACGACGTTTGGAGACATGAAGCTACGAAGGACATCGAGGACGCCGTTGAGCAGCTCGTGAAAACCGGGGCGTTCAAAGCCTAATCACGATCTGCAATTTAAATAAATATATGCTTATGGTTAGGATTAGATGTGATTTTGAAATGCTGGCGAAGAAGGACTCCATTGCTGTGGGTCGTCAGAGATCAAGGGAAGGTTTACGTAGCACAATCCTGGATAGTGAACGGTATCAATGGTATCAATGGTATTTGCAAATTAACGTTAGCATGGTTCCCGTCGTCTCGGTTTTCCTCGCTACCAGCGTTTTTGAACCCACTGAGTTCCATGCGTTGTATACTACAGGAGATCCAATGGTCTTAGAACACGTAGAAGAACGTATGCCGACATAGAACTACAATCATACTGCTACTTCTTTCAATCCTGAGCAAATTGTCAAGAATGAGGCATTTAGACTATACATTCATTAGCCAAGAACTCGGACAATCAATTGTATTTATTGATAGTACTAGCATTCAAGGTGTTAGTTAGCTAGCGTTAAGCATTCATACTTCCTAACGTTTCAGCCTTTTCACTAACATTATAGCAGTCTTTCAAATTCACTGAATGATCCTGTACGTATTGTATGTATTTACACAATGGAGAAGGTTCAATAATATTGAAACGCACTGTATACAATTGACTTTATATTATAAAGTACTTCTCGTTAAGTTAACTCAAACATCCTGGTTCTCATATTGTTGGAAGCTGCAGAGTTTTGAATAACACACATGTACATTGGCATACAGAATTAACAGAACCACCTCGCCTGTACCAAAAAAAAAGGCACTACGCACTTTACGCTTCAAACTTCCCCTTTACCCAGCCACCAACCTCCTTGCTCACTTCATTCCTCACACCTACTTACCATCCTGATAAAACTTCAACAAATCATTCACATCATCCTTACTCCCCAAAAACACCGCACACCGCTCATGGATCCCCTTCGGCTCAATATCCAAAATCCTTCCCCGTCCCGTAGTCGCAACCCCTCCAGCCTGCTCCGTCAAAAACGCCATCGGGAACGCTTCATACAACAACCTCAACTTCCCGCTCTTACTTTTCTTATCATCTGGGTAGCCGAAGATCCCGCCGTAGAGAAGCGTACGGTGGACGTCTGCGACCATCGAACCGATGTAACGAGAAGAGTAGGGTGACTTGCCGTTTGTGGGGTATTTGATGGAGTTGAGGTAGTTTACGACGGGTGGGTGGAAGTAGGTTGAGTTGCCTTCGTTGAAGGAGTAGATCTTCCCGCGTGCGGGGATTTTAATCTACCGGCACACAGAGCGTTGCGTTTAAGATCGGTTTGTTTTGTGTGTTTTGTGTTTGCCAGCCGCAAAGAGTGAAGGGGGTGATAAAGGGGTAAATCGGGTAAAAGGTTAATCACATGCGTGTGATCGAGATAAAGGACGCCGTAACGTACGTCTGGATGGGTGAGAATGAACTCTCCGAGAGCGGTGTCGAGCGTGTATCCATTCACGCCACCACCAGTCGAGAGAACGAGGTTGCACGACGAACCGTACCTGAATATATGCGTGTGAAATCGAGCCGAAAGCACGAGGAACAGAACGACTTACATGGTATACCCTGCCGCAACCATTTCCCGTCCAGGCCTAAGGACGTCTGAGATATCTCCCTTCTCCGAGTTCTTACATCCACACAAATAATCAGTAAACAGGGTAACTCCCATAAGAAAGAATTAATACACTCACGACTTTATAAATCCCAAAAATCGTCCCAATATTCACACCAGCATCAATATTACTCGACCCATCCAAGGGGTCAAACACCACACAATACCGTCCCCTCAGCCTCTCCTCAATTAAAATCGCCTCGTCCAACTCTTCCGAGACGAGTACAGCTGTTTTGCGAGAGGCACGGAGAGCGTTGACCATGATGTCGTTTGCGAGGACGTCTAGTTTCTTTTGTTCGTCGCCGGAGACGTTGGTCTCGCCTGCTAGGCCAATCCTAAACGGATTGAATCAGAGTTGTGAAATCTTGTCTTTTTGAGGGAGGAGAAAGGAAACGTACAAGTTGATAAGCCGAGCCTTACGGACATTCGTAGCGATGAACTTGGAGGTGGTCTGAATAGCAGTAAGGAGCAACGTCAAGTCACCCGTCGCTGCTGCACCAAGACGTAGCTGTTCGCCTAGGATATGCCTTTATCACCCCGCCACCATCACACACCACCAGTGACAAACAAGCAGGATCAAAAACTCCAATCAGTTCTTCTATCTCTTTTTCTGTGAGATTGAATATATGCGTTGACACGTACCGCGTGAGGGTGATGATATCAGTGCTCGGCGGTTCCTCAGCCATCTTTCTTCGTCCAATCTATCCGTACAACACACACAAAGCTTGGCACGTCGAGTCGAGTGAAGCGAGCGTGAAGATCGTTGGTCAAGTGCCAAAGGTCGAAGGCTTATTGGAGGAATCTAATAAGCTTATAAGAGCGAGTGAACAACGGGCAAAATCGGCAGTGGCAAGCAGCGGAACTTGCTCAGGCCAACTCTCGTACTGGCACGAGATTCCCGTCTGACATCCTTCATGGTATTACGTAAGACGGATCAACGTTGTGCTCCGTCCGGAGACCCGTCGGTCCACCCGGGCCGGGCTCTCTCAATTTATTCATAAAAATCTGGTGTAGAACAGACTACCACAACTAGAGAGGTAACTACAGCTATCTCTTGCGTTTCCTCCCAGCTACTACTGAAGCGGTTCCGGACGCGGTGCCTATTGAAGGCTTGGGCTTTCTCTCGCGCAATGGGACGGGGAAGTCGTCCTCGTCCTCGTTAGTTGTGAGCTTTGGAGGCGAAGTGGGCAGCGAGATGGGACCACCGCCATCGGCAGCGGAAAAAGGCGGAAAGCTATGCGAAGGTTGTAGTTGCTGTGTATGCGACTCGGGCTGTTCAGTACGGATCCCGCTCACGTTCATCCCGTATGTATTCCCATTCCCACTCTCATCTCCTACACCGTCTCCTCCAGCGACCCCGTCCTCCTCATCCCCATCCTCATCGCTCTCCTCCTCATCTTCCTCTTCATCCTCAAATATCTGAGCCTGAATCTGCGCCTGTGCAATAGCAGCTGCGATCTCTGCACTTATCGCTGCGACGCGTGCTTCCAGCGGTGCGCTACTGCCATCTCCGTCATGTAGTGCACCGGATTCGATACTTGGGCCTAGAGGTGGTACGGTCCCTCCCGCACCGATATGCGGAAGTAGGGATGTCAGTGTACGGAGCGCCGCGTCACCTTCCTCCGTCTCTGATTCTTCGTCTTCACCTCCTCCATCCGTCTTTCGTCTTTTCGACTTGAAGTTGTATCGTCTATAGAATCAAGTATAATAAGTATAATAGATGTTGCATTAGTTTGTCATTCCATAATCAAACAGAACGACGACAGAGACGTACACGTTCGGATCAGGTTCCCAATTCGGGTCGTGCGTGCGCATATGCGCTGTCAGCGCCGTCTTCCTTGTGAACGTCTTCGGACAATCAGGCCAAAGACACGCATACGGTCTTCGTCCAGTATGCGTCCGCCGATGTCGAGCAAGGCTACTTGAATCGCTAAATGTCCGTCCGCATGTAGGATATTCGCATGCATGCGGTTTTTCACCTGAATGGACGCGTAGATGGACGTGTAAGGCAGAACGCTATGGCAGCAGAAGAGTTATTCACGCGTTAGTAATAGTACTAAGAGGACTTGTGAAGTGGATCGTTTACCTGAATGAAAGTCTTCCCGCACCCATCGTGCGGACAAACAAACGGCCGATCACCAGTATGTATCCGCGAATGCCTCAACGCGTCGCTCTTCCTCCCGAACGTCTTCTCACAATACTCGCACGTGAACGTTTTCTTCTCCTTTCCTTCCCTCTTCCTCTTAGTTCCTTTTCCCTTTCCTTTCCCATCAACCGCAGCCTCATCGTCTTTTGCCGTGCTTGGTCCAGCTCCGGGGCTTTGCGGCATGGAAGTAGGGAACACCCCGCTGTAATACGGCACTGCGCCTGACGAAGGTCCAGGAGCAGAGTAATACGCGTTCGCGTTTGCATTTGTCACTAACGAAGCAGATGGAGCGAGGAAATTGTAACCCTCCGCTATGGAAGCAGCGTTACGACCAGTCATAGAAGGGAATCCATGGTCCTCTGTATGTGTATGAACATGCTGCCCATCCTCCTGCTCTAGTTGAGCACTTATATGAGCAAGTAGGTCTGTGAGGTCGTTGCTGAACCGTCCGCCTTCTACATTTCCTTCTACAACGTCGCCGCGAATGCCCCCAGAATCCTTGTTTGAGTGTCCGGAGTCGAGAGTCAAGTCAGCAGTAAGGGAATGAAACGCCGGAGTGCTTTTCACCGGGCCCTGCGTTTGCATCGCCTGTGCAGCTTGCAGAACCGCAGCAAGACCAGAAAGGTATTGTTCATGTGTCTGTTCGTTGGCATGGTCGGCTGTTGTCGTCGACGCGTCTGTAGCGACGTTGACGTTGTTCGAGGCTACATTATTATTTGTAGCAAGAGTTGAAGTGGTAGCAACTCCGGTATTCCCGTTGTTGTTCGTCGCTTGGCTGAGAAAGGCCGCAAGCTCCCGTTGTAAGAGATCCTCTACGGATAACTGATGCTCGTCACTTCTCCCGGTCATGCCGATTTGCGGGTGTAGACTACCGACATTTGATCCTGTTGCGTCATTGTCATTACTAGAGTTTCCGTGCTGGACGAGTGAAATACCGAGGAAGTCTAGGTCTGGGTCTTGTACGTTGTTGCCATGCGTTGGAGCCTCGCCGTCCATTGGCCCTGCGTTCTGCGTAGAGACGACATTTCAGCAAATACAGATTCAGCAAGTGGTGTAAAGCAGAGATACGATTACCGGTTGAAAAGAGGAAATGTTAGATATGGGTAGGACGCACTGACCACCTGGTCTGTGCGTGGGTGTTAATTGCGTTTGTATCTGTGATTGAAATGCTCACCTTTCTTGGCCAACGATGTTCTGCTGAATTTCAAGTCTTCTACTGCTACGAAATGTTTTCTGTAGACGTGATGTGTATTTGCAATAGTAAAGGAGGTTAGACGTGAAGAGAGAGAAAATAAGTAATCTGTAGGGCGTAATGCAGCACGTGGGTCTCAGAACGGTCCAGGTCTGCAGTGCTCTAAATCAACACTTGTTTTTATATTCCTCTCGAATTAACTCCCGCTGCTCGTCATAGACCTCCTTTCTATGCCCACCTCGCCTTGCGTCTCACAATTCTAAGTGTGCCCTTCAACCAGGCACCAGGAGAGCCACCGCGCAACGTGTATGAGACTTTACGCACTTTTCCTATACATCAAAACGTCTTTCGGATCCGCATACCTTAAAATCTGGACTTTGTGCTGGGCGTGTTGGTCTTCTCCCGACGGGTTCCTTAAGACCCCTTGTGTATGAGGCATATAAACGTGTGAGGAATTGAGTGATTGCTGGCATGATCTGGTATGTATTCTGTGCTGGTATTACTTATGAAGGGGGGCGATGGAAGGATAACGGGCTATTGCGGGTGTGCGTGCCTGGACTTATGTTGTTGTGCAGGCGCTCTTCCTTTGTTGTAAATGCAGAGGAATAATATACAGCATATTCAATTATACCGAAATTAATTGTGTGCCCCTCGGAGTCTCGACCTACGCTCGCCGCCTGTCTTGCCACGTTTAGCTTGAGCGCAGTGCACAGCGCCCGTATGGATGATTGGCGGGACGGCGCAGCCATGCAAATGATGCAAAATTATAAATTTATTTGATGCTGTAGCATGTCCTCGTGATTGACGCGAAAGACGCGCACACGGCACAGGCCTTTCGTTCCTTACCACTCACCATCATCTTCCCCACCTCCTTCTCTGGCGCCTTATACCACCAACTTCTCCTCCACTCTACCTTCCACTAGCAGCCAGCGATGTCCTACGTCAACGGCAAGATCGATCTAACGCCTCGACGACACCATGGATACGCCGTATTCCTCTTCATTCTTGGTACTCTCCTCCCTCCTCTTGGTCAGTGACTTCCCTACACAATCTTACTCAAAGCAAGAAGCTGATGTCGATATGATTGTGCGTCTATGTCATATCATGTAGCCGTTGCCGCCCGCTTTGGCATTGGAAAAGACTTCTGGCTGAACCTCTTACTCACGATATGTGGGTATATACCTGGTAAGCGGTCCAACCCAAACGAGATAATCCATTTCCAAGTGAGCTGACGCTTGTGTCATACGTACAATAGGACACGGGCACAACTTTTATATCCAAGTACGTTGTTCTTGTTCTTTCCATTTACTTCTCTCAACCATCTAATACCGCCAACAATTAACCAACGCATAATCACCATGATCATAAAAATAGAACATCCGTAACAACAAAAATCACCGCCGAACGCCCAAATGGGCACAACGTTACGGTCTCGTCGACACAACCAAGATCGAATCAAACAAGAAGCGCAGTCAATGGGCCTCGCGGTACAATGACCGACTGCCACATAGTGCGCTCGAGGGACAGGAATACGCCGAGGGTGAGATTCCTGATGCCAATGGACGCCCTGACTCGATATTGGAGCCCGATGCGCGCGCAAGGAGGGACAATCAGCAATTATGGACTGAGCAAGATGAGAGATATTATGGGCAGAGGAATAGTGTACAGGGGAGTACGGGGAGTTTGGACTCCGGGTCTGGGTCGACATCAGGTGGGAGGTGGCATTACCCTGCTAACTTCGAAGATACGCTCCCCGCAGACGGCGGTATGTACGGCGGTGTAACCAAGAAGAAAAAGAAAGGGAAGAAGGATCGCTGGGCGCGTACAGAAGACGCGTACGCTGCTCCGCCGAAGAAACGCAAGTCGAAGAAGACGAAGGGTCGCTCGACGGTTGGCGGTGCTGAGCATGATGGGGTTGGTGCGTCGGAGTATGATAGGAGGAGTAGCACGACGTCGATTGAGGATACTGGGTTCCCAGAAGATCCTGAGGGAGGGCTATATGGTGAGCGAAACAGAAGAAACGATGCGTTACCGGATGTGCCGCCTGTCGGCGCTGCGGCTGGGGGAGGGAGACAGCGAGATGTGCTTGACCATGAGTTTTGATGAGGTATCTTTGGGTTTTTTTTAGGAGCTGAATGTTACATTCCTGCATGCGAGCATTGCTTCAGTGTCGTATAGGCTGGTATCCTCTTTTCTATTCCCGTATTCCCTTATTATTCTCGTGATAATTTCCTTGTTTAGTTTCGCGTGCTTGCTTGTCGCGAAGGGCGGTGTGCTCGGGCGACGTCATTACCAAGAACAATGTAGCATACATACAAAAAGCTTGATATAAATTAACTTGAGATCAAACCACAAACGTACACACAATGGTACATACGCATCTTGATGCTTTGTGATTCTAGTCTGGAACTTTGATTCCATGATTTGCGTCGCTCGCTCTTCTTCGTCTACGCCTATTTGAGTATCGGAACTAGCGGGAACTGCACGATTCACTAGTAACTGCCTTCTTCCGAATCTTCGTTTCATACCATCACCATCTATTTCATCAGACCGCCAAGATGATCCTCAGAAGAAGAAACACGAAGTATTCGAGTTGCCAGCTCAACAACGGCGACTGCGAAGCACAAACACAAGCGCAAAAGGCTCCTATACCTCAACTACTTGATATTGTGGTATCGTGTGCTGTTTTTTTGGTCTGAACACGACCACATGGCTCACTCGCGTTCCCTGACTCCGCTGTTACCATTAATCCACACGATTCGCTTCCATAACTATCTTTAATTTACCCCACGAAAAACCGGATGGAGTAAATATGAGAAGCGAAGACTGGCGCTTGTCCCTAGGGTGTCGTATATATACCCTTCTTGTTCTCACTGGCGTAAGACGGGCTCGCTTTCTGCTGGGCTCTTCGCTGGCTTGGCTTGGCGTCTGTGTCTATCTGAAGAGCCGGTGCTGATACTGACACTGATCCTGCCTACGTTGAGATACCTATCTGAAAAATATACCTGGACCAACGCTATTGTAAAACCAGAGACTTAGGACATGCAGTTCCGACGGACGTTCTCAAGCCTAGTAAGCCTGGGTGTCGGTATCACCACGCTTTTGGTCGCACACGTACACGATGTACACGCTGCGGTGCTCGTTGATTTCCAAGTTGCGCAACCGCCGCCTGTACCGCAAGATGCGAAGCAGTGTACGCAGGTGTTAATTGAGTGCGTATATTTATCTTTGAACATTTATTCGTTCTCTGTACTCCGGTTGGAAAGGGAAGAAGTGATTGCTAATTTTCTTTTATTGGTAGACATACATTCGGGAATTCCTTTGGAAGGTACGAAATATGAACTTACCTTCCGGTGAATATTGGCGTTAATTTGCGTGTTTATTCTCGGATCGGGTAGTCCGGCGATTGCGAACTTCACGTACGTACGACGTTGAACCTATCTCACGTGTTTGACTTTGGGTACTGACACTGCCTTGATGCGATATGATATATTGTTATTAGGCCTCCGACGGACTGCGGAGATGTAGGTTCGTGGGCGGGTATCAGTTTGAATCTGACGGTCACTTCGAATGGTGTACGTTGTGGTTTCCGTTATTTTTAGAACTAAGTTGGCTCTCTAACTTCATTGGATTGTATAGACTCAATTTGATAGACTTGGGATCATTACGTTCCAAAACGCTGAGAGTCAGTAAACTCATCCTTACTTTAATCAATGTCTTCTTACCTTTGTTTTAAATTCCTATTCGGATGGCCTATAATTATTAGTCTGGCGGACTTCGACACCTGAACCTACTCGAGGAGACGGGATCATCTGGACGTACCTCAAAGACGTTACGAGATACATTCCGCTTTTCTCATCTCCGGGAGAGTTCATATTCGAGCTTGATAACTTACTCGAAACAGGGTTGGATGGACAGTATGCTTGTACGGTTCTTCTTCCAAAACTTCGCGTTATTTCTTGACAGACAAGAGCGACTAAGAGAACTTGTTTTATTTCGTTTGTTGTAGCAACTGTCTCGGTGACGTTCTTTGCGTCTTCTGCTGAACACCAGCCTGCGAAGAAGGCCGACCTTATTCTGCCTATCTCTGCACAGTCTGGATCTAGTCCTGATGACAACGCGCCTTCCGTCCCACCTGCCACTTCTGTAAGTTTTACCGTCTTCTTATTCGTTCACTAGACAATATACTTACTACTACACAACATTCATTAGCTAAACGTAACTTTCCCAAAGAACACGATAGAAGTGTACGCAGAGCTCTTCGCATCGGGTAATGGAAACGAGGAGTTCTGGTACTTCAATACTGCAAATGAGTTCTTAGACGACCTTCCTGATGGAACGACGTTTGGTGATGGGCCATTTAGAGAGGTGAGGTTGTTAATTGACGGGATGCTTGCTGGAGTTGCGTTTCCGTATGCGGTTATTTTTACGGGCGGAATTGTACCGACTGCTTGGAGGTCAGATTCATTTTGCTCCGAATACAAAGGGTTGAATTCTTTAACTCATGTTGTTTTACTTAGACCGATCACATCATACGGTGCACTAGACCTCCCAACCTACTTCCTCGACCTCACTCCCTTCGCCCCTCTCCTCGCCGACGGCCAACCACACAGCATCTCCCTCGACGTCGCCTCCGCCGAGTCCGACCACGCCATCAACGCAAACTGGTTCGTCTCAGGCCTCGTACAAGTCGTCACCGACCCCAACAGCTCCGGACAAACTACAGGCAACATTACGGTGTACGACGTCCAGCCGTTCGCTACGACGCAGACGAATGGAAACGTAGGTCAAAATGGTGATGTCAACGTCACGGTTTCGGCCAGCCATCCGGTACATATTGAGGCTACTATTGTGAGTGGGAGTGGGGATGTGAATAAGGTGGTTGTGAGGCAGGATATGGCGTATAGTAATACGCAGAATTATTTGCAGAATACGAGTATCCAGGTAATAGCCGTTTTCTTTTCTCTAGAGTTTCCTTGTCGAGTGACGTCTAATTTTAATAATGCTAATTACTTGTTACAGAACGTGTTCCAACTTTCGAACGGCTCTGTGTCGTCGACGCATAACGGTGTTCCAGCCGTAACCGACAAGTTCTCCTTCCCGTTCAACATCAACTTCACTATCCTTAATCCGGACGGGTCACAAAGTACGTCTTTCTATTTCCTCGCCCACCTCTCGGCTGGAAGCACGATTTCTAACTTTCTCAACTCCTTACAGTCGAAGCAATCTTCGACCACAGCTACGACCGTACCTCCCAACCCGCACCTTTCCTCCTCGGGTCAACAATCACAGAGCACCAACTCGCCTCAGGGTTCTTCACCATCGCTTCCTCCGGGAACACAGGGAACGGTACCTCGAATAACACGCTAACCTACGCAGACACAGAGGGAAATACGTTTGATCGGGAAGTGGATGCTGTGAATAATGTTATTGTGAGTGATCATCAGGGTGGGTCGCTTGCGCCGAGTCCGGCGGGTGTTGCTTTGGGTGCACAGGAAGATGCAGATAGGGATGGGGGAGTGGAGTTTGTTGGTGCGAGTGTTAGGTTCCCTGGACGGGTGCATGGAGCTTAGATAGGTACGACTTGTCTTTGTCGTTGGGATCCACTGTGTATGTGGGTACTTCTGTCTTGATGTTATACAGAGACTGTTGGCAAAGCAAGTGGAACGGACAACTGCAGTAATAAACACCCAGCAGGGACAAGCGTATTACTGAGCCTGGCCAAAATCACATTGGTTCAGATCGGTTCAGAGACCATTCGCAAACTTAATTAGATTGCATCCTTGTTTGTTATGATCCTTTGTACTGAGTCAATCAATCTCCTGTGTGTAACCTTTGTGATTCCCAGTACCTGTCTGAACTCTTAACAAGGTGATGTCCCACATCATTGAGTCTATGATGTCTGAATCTTTGCTATCTGTCTTTGTGCAAAATCGAAATATTGCTTCTATGCACACTTGTGCCTTTCCCAATCAATCAATCAATCTATCTACTACATACATTCTAAGTTATAGATCAGTGAAGTACACCCTGTAATGTATTGATGCCAGGGTACATTATCACATCTATGAAAGCATATTGACTAATCCATCATCTCTCAGGTTATAGCTTTCCTAAATTCCTCCATTGCTTCCTCACGTTTATCATGAACGCTCACTTTGATCTGCAAAGCCTCAGCACTCTTCTTGTATCTTTCCATCTCTGCCTTTCCCGACTGGAGTGTCCGACTTGTCTCTGCTGATTCGTCCTCCGAAGACATCTCCTTATCCAATGCAAGGATGTCATTATAAATCTCCAATCCCTTAACTTGGCCCCTCCAGGCACTGTTGTCTGCAGAAGCCATTGATTCCAGTACTTTGCTAGCTGCCTTGAGGGTAGTTGGTAACTTTTTCGGATGAATTGTGGATGCATCAAGGACTGCATCTCTAACCTGAGTCAGAGCCTTCTGCAAGTCAATATTCTTCTTCTTAAGATCCCTGTCAATATATGCACGGCCTTGAGGATCCACATCAAGATCTCTCTTGATTGTATTAATCAGAATATTAAACTCTGTAATAAGAACAATTACAGCTGCCTTTGCAACCTCATCTTGTTCATCCCATTTTTTACCCTCATCCTCAAATACTTTGTGCTTCTTCATCTCCTCATGTTTATCAGTTTCATCTTGATAAGCTCTCCATGCATTCATTTGTTTATCCTTGGCTGTCTGACTCTTTTTAGTCTCTTCTTGTACTTTGTTGCAAGTCTTTTGTAAAGAAGTAATCTCTGTTTGTAATTGTACTTCTACATATACATTCACAATAGTCTTGAGAGCATTATGGAATGCTTTATCAAATTCATACTTTGGATTATTATTTGATGAATCTCTTCTTGATATACTTCCAGATGATTCCCTTTTTGACATGTCTCTTGTTTAAAAGTCAAGTATTAATAGACAGGGTGGATACAAAGTATAGGAGTTCAATAGTATGATTAATTAGAGAGGAGAAGAAAGTTTATATATAAAGGTGCATTAGATGCAAAGTTGAATAAGCATATTATGAGAGTAGACTTTGCTCTCTAATCTTAATACTTTGCTTTATAAAACCTTATTCATCTTTGCTCTTAGTATCAAAAGTAACTCTTAAGACTTTCAACACTTACAATTTTGCTAAGACTAACACTTTTTTATAATGTTAATACATGAAATACAAAATTTTAATTAAAATACAACTGAACAATAGAGTACATAGGACACAAATCTGAGCAATATCATATTACATTAAATTCTAGTATTAAATGATTCAACTTACACAGTAGACATAGTATTAGAATATGATACACAAACATATTTGTCCTATATTCTAAATCATATTCTTATTGTCTAATTAGAGACTTGCTTCAGAATATAGTTTAGTATGTAATGTGAACATATCTGTCTATTATATTCTAATATGTTTACTGTGTTAATAAGGATGTATACAAAGACAAAGTAGTTACAAGAAATAAAAGAGACTCTATCTAGAATATACAAGGAAGAAAAACTGAATAAACAAACAATGTTACAGTAATTCTAATATAGAGAAGAAGTAAATACTAAAGATTGTAAGATAGAATATGAATTGTCTAGTACAGAATCTTGAAAGGGTGAAAGTAGGGTTCATAGAGTGTACAAGGAGAGAGATAATACAACTTGAATGTAAGATGAGAGAGAGGACAGAAGAGGTAGGGTTATGTATTAGATCAGAGAGTCTCTGAAAAATCATTCTTGTTGTCAGTTTGTCAAGATCTCATTCAACTTTGCTCTAAGAATTAGGTACAATATCCCTCTCTTTAAATGTACAGTACCTGTCTAATTTCTGGCGCTGGTACTTGTGAAGAGTCACAACGTATATATGAATACAAAATAAAACTGAAATAAAGGGATTACATCCAAGCTACATCATCAAGCCACGTCAAAGCCTATTTAAACCTATTTACTACTTGACTCAGCTTAATGAGGACAGAGACAGAGACAGAGACAAAGATGTAACTTGGTTGTAAGAAAATGAAAAAGTAATAAAAAAAGAACTCCACCCAGAACGTACAAGAAAAGAAAAAGAAACCAAAGTCAAATAAAAGAAGTAATACTTGGTCCAGAAAAGAGGAAATAAAAGTCAAAAGTCAAGGTGTGAATTGTCCAATGTGAGCAAAAATGGGAAAGATAGGAGTTGTAGAGCGTGCTAATGCAAGAGGATCGTGTGATGTAAGGTAGGAGTGGGGAGGTAAGAAGGAGAAAGGGGTTAGGCGTTAGATTACAAAGTCACAGAGGGGAAAGAAAATCGTTCTCGTCGTCAATTCGTTTTTCGCGTATGTATTTATATCCGTTCCAATCCGTTCCTTTTCGTTTTGTTTTCGTCCGTCGTCCAAAAAATTCGTATTAGCCCGTTAATTAAAAATGCCGTTCGTGTTCGTCTTTATATGTTTGCGTATGCAATCGAACTTTCTTCCTTCGCATCGCTCATCCGAAGAGGGAGGTCAAATCCGTAAGCACACTCTGCACACCATCGTCGCCTGTAGGAGCACTCTGGTACCCATCGTTCGGCGTTATTCCCGAAGTGTTATCATTCGGCGTAGTCGTGCTCTCATCAGCGTTCTGGTCGACGGTCGAGCCGTCGTTGGATGATAGGCCGTCTTGACCCCACTGTTTAAAAATAAAAGCAAATACGGCGGATTGTTAGCGTTTGTGGTACACATGTGATAGATGGACGGATGGATAGATGGATGAATAAGGGAAAAGATAAGGAGAACGGCACAGGAGAAGGAGAAGGACGTGAGAGAAATGAAGAAGAGTACACAGCATGTGAACAAGGCACTACACCAGATAGCTGGTTGCTTAGTTGATCCACGGAGGGAAGGGGTCAAAAGAAAGGAAAGGAAAAGGGCTGGGATGGAGGAAAAGGAAACAGACGCACCTGATACTGCATCGCACCACCCAATTGCGCCTGAGCAGCAGCGTTAATCCACTGACTATACGCATCCACAAGCTGCGCATTCGATACACCCGCCGTAGCCGCGGCCGGGTTCGCTTGCCTCTTCTTCACCGTCGTCGTAGCGTTTAGTGGATTCGTATTATTAAACGGCGCATTTGTTGAGTTGAACGGCACGAAGAACGGCAAGTTGTCCTGCGTCACGAGTCCAAAGGCTGTCATCACCGTGGGCTTGCCCACCCTATACGAGGAGAATTGGAATTAGAATCAGAAGCCCCATTACGAAGGTGCGGAGGAAGGAAGGCCCGAGGAAGTAAAAAAGGAATTAATAAAACAAAAATAAGAGTGATCCCGTCAAACTTCATTGTATCGTTATCAAGATCTGGAACTCCCGGAGCGGTAAAGGAATGCCGAAGCGTGTGTACGGGGAGATTGGAAAATGGGTTGGGTATGACAATGCCCGGGACAAGGGAAAGAAGGCACAAGTGGAGAATTTCAAAGGTGATGTACTGGATGGCCGATGGAAAAAGGGAAGTGATACGTACTGTTGTGCAATTTGCCCTTGCAATGTGATAAATTGAAGGCCATCCTGGACTGTTTGATTGAACGCCGGGAGGTTGGGGTCCGGCCCGGCAACTGAGTAGTTGTTCTGGTCCGGGAAGAGTTGGCTGCAGGTCATCCCCACATAGCAATTAAACATAGCATCATGAAGAAGCGACACAGCATGGCAAATTATATGCCAAGGGCGATCGAAGGGCGATGGCGGAGTCACAGGAGCATGCGAGAATGGGACAAGATTAGATAGACATCAGCTTCGAACACGTTCATCGAGAACAAGAAGGGACGGGAACATACAATGAACCGAAGCCTATAGACGGGGCATTGAGAATGTCCTGAGAATCGACGCCAGAAGACCCGTCGAAGGCGGGCCCTACAGTTGTACCCACAGATGGGACCGATTGCCCTATACCCGAAACGAATGAAACAGATTGAGCAAACGGCGAAGTGACGAGCGAAATAGGAAATCAATGAGAAACGGAATACGCACGAGTTGCGATCCAGCGTCCACGAATACGTATACCATCGCCACTGTCGAGTAACTGGCGCTTCTTCACTTCGCGCGTCTTCTTGCGACTCTCCTTGACGTCGGCGAGAATACGGTCGTTCGAGAAGGGCTTAAAGTTGCGCTTTCGGCGCTGGGGAGTCGCCGATACAGAAGGTGCTGGGGCAAGAGGGAAGAGCTTCGGGCAGTTTGCACATTGGAAACCACTGGCACCGCTCGAGACGAGATGGTTTGGATCAATACTTGCAACGTGTTGTCCAACATCCTGATGCCATCCCGTAACAGTGGTGGTGTTGCAGACGTTGCTTGCAAGAATCGAGCTACTGCAGCGTGGATCATTCGCGAGCTCCCAAGCAAGGATGGCAGGGCTGTCCTTGTAACGGTTGACGACCTGGGTAGTGTAATTCTTGAAAATGTTGACGATCGTCTCGTTGAGATAGAATTCATCATGCTGCCTCGTCGCTCCAAATTCGCGAACATATGCGTCCATACCGCCTAGAAGATAGAACCTGATTTAGTATTGTACTCGGATTTGACATTTCCCGAAAGGGTCGGGCAAAATGCGGCGCAGAGAAGATGGGATGAGAACTTACCGAAATCATTTGACAAGAAGTTTCTCGGAAAGGAATTATTTGTGCCGACTGTGACGTCCCTCCGGCCAAGGGAGCCGTCGACGGGGACGACGGTGGTGTTGTCGATGAGTGGGCGCGGGTTCCAGTTGTTCGTGAGGGAAAGAATGAGCAGGACACCGTTGACCTCGGCGGCTTTTACAACCTGGTCGAGTTTCTGGAGGCCATTTGACCCGGTGTTGACGAAAGTGGTGCCGTTCTGAACGAGCTGGAACCATGTGCCGTTGACGGGGATCTCATCGACGTCATTGAAGGCCCAGGTGCGTATGACCTTTATGCCATGAGCGGAGATGTTGGCGACTGTCCTGTTTATGTCTGCCTCCGTGTTCAACGATGGCAGCCAGTATGCATTGGTGCCAAGGAAGGAGAAGGGCCTGCGGTGGTATTGCTATTAGAGAGGAGCAATATATACATATACAAGAGAAGTGCGGTACTGACTCGCCATTCCTAATAAACCTGCCATTCTCGATTGTGACGAAGCCGTGATCCCAACGCTTTGTCTTTGTTGTCGGGGTTGGCGTGAAGAGACTGGCACTGGCCGAGAGCGCAGTTAGCGCAAGTGACCAGAGGGCTGCAGCGCGCATTTAGTTGTCCGCGGGATGCGTGCCCTAGTCTGTGTGAACTAGAAGATGGGGGTCTGCAGGAAGGCAGGCGCGGGTGCATGATGCAGGATGACGGGTATTTATTCAGAGGTGTGCAGATGAACCGCCGAAAGCGAACAGGGCCAGACACGCCTAGTTCAATTACAATGGGTTAGGATAAGCACCGGACTGAAGGCAGGTGATGGCCGTCACAGTCTCAACAACTTCTAGCACGCGGACGGCATGCCGTAGATCACCGACGATCGATTGACGCCTTCATTATTTGCTCCCGCTTTGGTCATCATCCAATTATGTAAAGATCGACGCTCGCTTCTTTTCGTCTCGCGTGTTGTGTCGCCGCTGACGAGCCCGCCATCCCGTCGTGCCTTTCTCTCATGCTACGACTCGCGACAAACGTTCCACGCTCGCGGCGAGTCGTAATACAGTGTGCGGCGCTTACAGCGAAACGCTCCTCGGCTCGACATCTGTCGAATGGCACGCAGACGCCCAAGCCGTCCGAGCGTCCCGAAGGCAGTCCAGCACCGCGTCCGTCCATCAACAGCAGTGCCGGTGCTGCCACTCCTCTGAACGATCCACCTCCTAATCTCGACAACGTTGGCATCCCTCCTCAAAACTTTTCAAAACCGACATTGTCTACGTTAAACTTCTGGTACCGCTTCACCAAGTTCTCCGTCATCGGTCTTGCCTTCATCACTGGTGGGACTCTCCTTGGCTTCGAGGCGACACATTTCTGGGTGGAGAATGTTGAGCTCGCAAAACCATCAGATCCAGATGGCGAGCTTGCGCGCTGGGGCTGGATAAGTGAAGCAGAGCGCTGGACAGGAGGCGAGCGCGGAGGGACGGACCCTGCTCTTGGAATGAAGGCTGCTCATGCACTCCGATCCGCTTGGATGGCTCAGCATTGGGGCACAGGTGCAAGTGTACTCAGCTCAAACGCCCTTGCGAACGCGCAAAATGCAAATGCTGCGGTTGAAGCCCGCTTGGAGTATTCTCATGATTTCCTGACTCTGGCGCTTGCTCTTGCGAATGAACGTTTGAAGGATGGTAAACCAATTCGTCCGGAGACGATAATTGACATACTTGCAAGGAAAGCTGCCACTTTGGAGCGTATTGGTTCAAAAGGTTCACTGTATGATGCTCGCGCAGCATATGAACGTGTATGGGATGAGCAAACGCATCTCGGATCGGGGGCCGACGAACTTGCGCGTCTTGCACTCAAGCTCGGCGATGTAAACTCTCGGCTAGGCGATGCAGAAGAGGCACGCTCGTGGTGGGCTCGCTCACTACAGCTTGCTTCAGACGAGTCGCATCTACCTTCTACCTCTAACGCGATTAACTCTTCTGAATCAAGTCTGGAGTTACCTGACTGCCTTCCTGCTTCTCCTCACGCACAACGCACTGTCGCAGCCGCACTCTCCTCCCTCTCCGCATCGTACGCACAACTCGGCCTTCTCTCCGAAGCAAAAGCCGTACAAGACGCCGGGATTACTCTCTTAGCTCCATCACTCCCCTCAAACAGTCTGTCCACACCCTCCTTCTCAGCTTCACCCCAGGATGCAAGCGAGGTTCAACAATCTGCTAGCGAAAAGTCAAATTCAGGTTCACTAAGCGGTAATGATATCGGTAATGCGTCGCCGCCTCAAGCGTTACACAATCTCTACCTCCAACACCGACTCTCCCTCCTCGCACTCCACCGAGCTGAAATCACCTACGCGCTCCGTTTGGCCCCGCCTACGCAGACACTTGAAGAGCTCGCGCAGGCGGCGATTGAGTCTGAACATGTCGTGCATGCGCTTTCTTCCACTTCCGCCTCATCCAAGCCGGGTGAGGGGAAGAAAGAGCTATCGAGCGAGACGACGAAGTTGACTAAAGTGTATGCGAAGGAACGGGTGTTGAACACTCCTGCGAGTAGTCTGTTACGAGACGCGAGGAGGACGGCGTTATATGCTTGGACGCTTTCTGGGATCTTACATGAGAACGCTGCCGCCTTTTCTTCCCCCTCCTCTTTTCCGTCGTCTTCGTCTTCGTCCTCGTCTAAGGACTCGAGTGAATCGTCAACATCAACATCAAAATCCCTCTGGAAGAAAATCTTCACCTCCACCCTCCCTTCTTCCTCTCCATCCACCTCATCCTCATCCTCACCGCTAGACGAAAATCAAGAAACAGAACACCGTGCAGCGCTTCGCTGTTACATGCGTGCACTCGCCTGGGCAGGTATTCCTCTCTCCAACCTCGATTCACTTGACTCCAACTCCCAGGAGACGAAGGTTATAGTTCCAACAAGTTCGGAGTTGTTGGATAGTGAGTGGCGGGTGTTGTGGGGTGGGTATATGCGTATGAAGGAGGTTGTTGTTGCTGCTGCGAGGGAGAGGTATGAAAGGGATAAAGAGAAGGAGGTGAAGAATGATACTAAGACTTGATTATCCCTTTCTTTTCCTCGTATCCATTTACTTTCGAATCCTCGTTTTCTTTCGTTCGATGTTAAAGGTTGACGAGACAATCTGTACACAATATTAATATTTACGTTCACTATCTAATACATTTCCATCCTTCATGTAAGAAAAAAACATTCATAATTAGTTACTATTCGTATTACTCCTTGCAAACTCAATGACAGACAACATGCATTTGGCACGAGTATCGTCTCGTTAATTTCCTAGTCAGAAACAACACAAAAGAACAAAAAAAATAGAAAGAAAGAAAGGAAAACACAGCTTCACCTCAATTTCAAATCTCAATATCAAATCTCACCATGTCAATCAAATCAAATCAAATCAAATCAATCTCTTGTAATTTTCAAATCCCATGTCTATCAAAGAAGCCTGGTACATATTTAAGTGCTATCGTTTAACAAAGAAAGGCAAGACTGAGCGTCAATCTGAAGTCAAATCTAAGCACATTCAATACGTGTAAGGTATACAGTATATACAGTGAGTTAAGTTGTTTCCCGTGTTTCTGCCGAATTGCTGACACGTTCAACTGGGGGTCAACCCTCGAATCAGTAGGCTATGCAGAAAAAGGAGCTAGAAGTCAGTTGAGTGAGTGATTAGTTGAGTTGGAGAGGATAGAATGAGTAGGACGGAACGATTGGCGCTTGAAGTGAGAGGATGTGATGTGATATGTACAGAGGGGATAGTTTTGCGTTCACCTCACAGTAATAGAAATATAGAAAGAGTCAAGAAAACTTTTCTGGCATAGGATCTAATTGGCTTTACAACAAGTGAAATACAGGTGCATCTTCCACACATTGCTGGTTGGATGGTTGTATGATGCATGACATGATCTAGATGAACAGGGTGGTAGTGATATACAGTAGGTGTGTAAATGCTTGAATGGTTTGAAATGGTTTGAAAGAAGATGAAATTACATTATCAAATCACTATGATTGTTAGGTCCAACGCAGCGCGTCATAAAACAGGGACGACAGATTAAAGCTGAGGGGACAAATAAGCTAAGAACGAAACAAAACGAGGAAAAAAACCACAACTCACTACAACCACGAATCGCAAACAAAAACCCATCCATCCGTTCACCAAATGCTATCAGTCGGCACCATTGCCCCATTCCCATCCCGTTTAAACCGCCCTCCTCCACTCTCACCTCTATTCACCGTACACCCCGCATCCCACTTCTGACAACATATCTTCATAACTTCTCCAAGTCGATTAGGATACCGAGCTGGACTGTTCCGTTCGTGAAGCTTTGCGTCGAAGAGTGCGACTTTGTCTTGGCCTGCTAGGAGGTCGAATTGGTTTTTCTGTTGATGATAGTAAAACATTTCAAGGAATCAGGAAATTAGGTTGATGAGGGTTTGAGTACTGCACGTACCTGTAATTGCACCATACGCACCGCTCGTGCATCGTCTCGCATTTTCATTAGCTCTTTCCGTCGTTCTTCCTCTTTCACTCTATACGAACAAAAACACACACAAAAAAGTGAGGAGATTAGCAATTAACTGAATAGGAAAACAATGCAAACCTTGAGTTCACTCCGACCCTTGGAGCAGAAGATGACCCACTCTTGAATAAACTGTTATAGATATCTGGACTTGATAGGTCCACGTCGGCTGTTTTCTGCACGGGTTTACGTGGTAAAGACGTGTGAATGGGTAAACCGCCCGGTGTCGATGTTCCACCCGTGATGTTTGATTTCGCAGCAGCGGTCGCTGCGGTACCTGCACCCGCGGGAGTGGAAGGACCCGAGGACGGTGCGGTGGAGGTTCCGGCAGCGCCGCCGAGTGCCTTGTTTTTCTTAATTGGTGGTAGTTTGCGGACTTTTGAAGCTGAAGTAGGCTGTGCTGGCGTACTACCTTCTTGTTGTTGCTTCATTGCTGGCGTGTCAGCGGGGGCGGTGGAAGATTGTTCTGCAACTGTAACAGTAGATTTTACCTCAGTAGAGGAGCTGTCGACGTTTAGTTCGGAAATCGTTTCTCGTCTTCTCTTGACGCCTGCCTTTATCTCACCACCTCCGGAGGTCGAAGACGCAGTAACCTTCCGCTCATCTTTGACCTGTGTCTCACCGATTCCACCTCCTTTCTCCTTCATACCTTTGCCTCGGCCTCTCCCACCTCCCGTACCACCCTTCCGTCCGCCCTTACGCCGCGGCGAGTCAACGACAAAGTCATCATCTTCATTATCACTTTGCTTCCTCCCAGCATCCATGTAATCCTCGTCCTCGTCCGATAGTACAGTTGATTTCTTCTTATTTCGTTTGCGTGAAAGACCAGGAGTTGGCGTTGGTGCACGTTCAGTGTCGACCGGGTGACTGTCTTCGTTTGAGAATCCAGTGTTGACTATATCCAAATCCATGTCGTCTTCGAAGAGTTTATCTGGATCTGGCGCTTCGTTTTGGTACATACTGGGCCTTCGGCGTCTTTGTTCTGCAAAAGATTAAGTGATAAAATGAGAATCATCGCACTATTAGCATTAATCGCGCCCAGGAGAATGATTGAGTGAAATTCAGACTCACTGGAAGGTCCTGGTTCTTGGTGTTCGTGTGCTTCGTGTGTCTCCTCTTCACTTTCAGGTGGCTCAGAGAGCTCTCCGTCGTCCTCGTCGTCGCTGATGACTCTGCGCTTCTTCCTAGGGGCAGTGGTCGGCGGTGGTGGCAATAGTTCCGGCTTCTAAATGGGACATCATCGGAGCGTGAGCATGAGAATCATGCAGTGCATTTGGAAAATGAATATTCATATCTATTCTATGAATAACTCACCTCGGATGAGGGCCCCACTTGCTGCTTTCTCCCCGGTACTTTGATTTTAAACGACGACATCGGTCATATATGAGAGTAGTCGCTGATGAATGAAGTTGAAGTATTCGTTGACGAGGATAATAAGTGTTTACAGTGGAAGGTAAGGAGTGACTCGGAGGCGTAGTGACTGTGCGCGTTTACGGATGTCACGCTTTCTTACTGGGCGGTAGCCGGCAATATCCGGCCGATCTACCGTACATGCTGCTGAAGTGAAGGAGACTGGAATACATAGGGCACCATGCTCAGGACGCTGTCCTTGCGTCCGTCGCGTAGTTGGTCAACATGGCTGCATTCAGCACAATGTCGTCGATATACTATCGCCTCAGCAGCACCAGTGACAAAACCTGGAACAATCGAAGTGCTCGGTAGGCACTACCCAACAGACTCCTACACAAACATCACTCCTGCCATCCTCTCTCGGCTCAATGCACGGCTAATTGACAAACCTGCGCACCCACTTGCCACCCTCAAGGCGCTTATTGAGGACTACTTCGCCGACTATGCGCTTTTCAGCAGCTTCCCGCCGCTCGTCACCCCGAAGCAGAACTTTGACGACCTCTCCTTCGCGCCTGACCACCCGGGGCGTGCAGTCACAGATAGTTACTACGTGAATAAGGACTTGATGCTCCGAACACATACGAGCGCGCATGAAGTCGAGATCTTCGCGGCGGGACATAAAAAATGGCTCCTTACAGCCGACGTGTTCCGTCGAGACGAAATTGACGCGAGTCATTATCCCATTTTCCACCAGATGGAGGGCGCACGGCTCTTCAAACACGACCGCACAGCAACCTCCGCATCTCTAATCGAAGAAAACGAACGACTAAGCTCTGAACTATCTTATGAAAACGTCCAACTAGAGGATAAGACGCGCGTAGACTCGGGAAACCCGTACCAGTCATACCATGACCCCCAACTCGCAGACCTCGTCACTCAAAATCTTAAATACACGCTCTCGTTAATGTTTTTCAAGCTCTTCGCTGGTGTAGCGGGAGCGTCAAAAAGTAACCCGTTACAAATCCGTTGGATACCCGCGTTCTTCCCGTTTACGTCCCCGAGCTACGAAGTTGAGGTTCTCTTCCGTGATAAATGGCTTGAACTTCTGGGCTGCGGCGTCATCCAACAAGCAACATTGGCCAATTCCAGTACGTCGTGTCTTTCAAATTGGTCTTGAATAAACTACCATCACTAACGACAACGTGACATATGTGTAGAAATTGAGAACGAAATCGGCTGGGCGTTTGGTCTGGGACTCGAACGTATCGCAATGATTCTCTACCAAATTCCTGATATCAGGTTATTTTGGTCGGAGGACCCGCGTTTCCTCGGACAATTCCAACCAGGCAAAATCACGACGTTCAAACCATTCTCCAAGTACCCTGGCACATGGCGAGACGTTAGCTTCTGGTTACCGGAGCGCTTTCACTCGAATGATTTCTGCGATATCGTGCGCGTTGTTGCTGGGGACCTAGCGGAAGAAGTGACACTGGTGATTATTTTTATTACTTGTATTATTGTTCTGCAGATAGACGTGTTGTGATTTGCTGACTTTGATTCTGTAGTTTGATCAATTCAAGCACCCAATGACAGGGAAAGAGAGTATGTGCTTCCGGATCACTTTCAGGTCAATGGAAAGGCAAGTTCTAGCTCGATCCACTTGTCAATACTTCCCTAAGCAATTTCTCTCCCCATAGGAACCTCGAGAACACCGAAGTCAATGTCTTAACCAATATCATCAAGGACCGCGCAACCAAAGAGCTAGGAGTAGAGATTCGTTAATTTGCAAAAGAATTAAGTAATGACTATGCGAAATAATGGGATATAGGCCCGTCTAAAATGTAACCCCCGAGACAAGACAAGACGTATATGTAGCATAGTAGTCCAGTCCATGTCCATCATCGTCTCTAACTCCCCCAAGGTACCACTCCCCTGGCATCACAGCAGCTAGGGTTATGATGATGACTCAGCGGCGACACCGACTTGCGCGGCGCGGAGCGTGCGGTCTTTTATCGTGAAGCCCTGTTTTTGGCAGTCGATGACGGTACCAGGTTTTTTGCCAGGGATGGGCGCTTGGTAGAGTGCCTCGTGTCGATTAGGATCAAAAGCATCCCCTGTTGGGTCGAATGGCTTGACGTTGTACTTGAAGAGGGTTTGGAGTAACAGTCGATGTGTCATCTCGACGCCGTGATGTAGTTCGCGGAGGTATTCTGAGGCGGTCTTCGTCGGTTCTGCTTGGGAATTGGGTGATGTAGAGGTGGAGGAGGATGAAGACGAGTCGGAGGATGACGAAGCGGAGGCGGACTGAGAGGCAGCGGCAGGTAAGTCATCGGCTGGCAATTTTAGTGCGCTTTCCGGGACAGATTTCAGCGCAAGTGAGAGGACGTCAACGGTTTCTAGGAGGTCGCCTGCGAAGCGAGTGATGGCAAAATCCTTGGTCTGTTCCTTCTCTCGTGCGGCATTTCTTTGGAGATTGAGGAAGTCAGCTTGAAGGTAGCGTAATCGACTCTGTGGCAACAAACAGCAACGTCAGCAAAAACTCCATTCGACAATTAGGCTAGATCCAAAGTGAACACGCACTGTAAGGTCAACGACTTCACCCTCTTTTGCTTTGAGCTTCTTCATACATTCCGAGGCGTCCATCTCAGCATTTTCACTCTGCCTGGCACCATTCTCTTGCTTTCTATCACCATTTCCCGACATTTCTTTCTCTCCATTCTCCGAACTTCGCTCCGACGAGTTCTGTTCGTTCTGGGTAGAATATAACCTCGAACCCGACCGGAACGCAAGCGCACGCGCTGCATAAGCTGAGCGTCTTGCTGGCCCCGCCACAGGAGACGAGATACTCGCCGTACATTGGCGCAGTAAAGAAAGTGTCGCTGCGCGGCTCATAACAGCTCAAGGGGAGAGGTTTTAGAAAAGGAAGAAAGAGGAGAAATGAAAAGCGGAGGTTGACGCACTTGAGGCAAGTGGTGAGAAGAGCCGCCAGCAGGTCCGACTCCAAATTTTTGTCACGAAATTCCGGGTGACAAATCATCTAATTATGTAATATAGTGCTCTTGACCGCAAAATACACCTAGAAATGCCAATACTCTGGATAATAATTATGGCTCTGATGAAATTCTACGCTACATAGTATTTTGTTTGCCTTTGGAACAAATTATAACAATGTTGAAAAGGGGGTTACTCTAGTGAAAAATTAGGAACACACATAGCAGTGAAATACTCACTCAAGTAGCACTAATAACTTGAACTTTGCCCAGTTCACGACAATACATGTTCCAATTACATAATCTCTAACTTTGCCCTTCTGACTTACGACATTATTATTATCAATCAAAAAGGTACACATCTAAGTTTTTTTCTGGTAAGTTGCATCAAGATCAAAATGCAAAGGATGATTCCATATCACGACGGATTCTTGCATTATAAGTACCTCCCTCAATTGCATTGTACATATGACCACCTCTCTTTCTTTTAAGCATCCTGTCGAAGACTGAACATTAATTGGTAATAGTCAACTAGAACGGGGAGTATGTCGAAAAAGGAATCTTCTAATAATACAAGAAATTCATCTACTAGTCACAATCCAAGGCATGAATATGATAAGGCATTATCTGGTGCATTCAAAGCTATTGTGAACCCATACATTGAAGTGATACTACAGTATGAGGTCAACTCTTTGTATGAAAGATGCAAGAAGGCACGGGAGGAGAAACACAAAGAGGAAGAGGCAATAAGGACAGTTGCAGAGGAATTTAATTCTTATCAAGCTGCTGACAAAAGCAAGAGCACGGAATTGTATAGAATATATATGCGTCACGCTCTTGGGACAGAGATACAAAAGTATGAAGCAAAATGGGCTTTAGAGGACCTTATAGAATATTTAAATATATTAAGCAGGACAGTTGGGAGATGCCTTGACATTGATACTAGAGGACAGGTTTATATAAGTCAGGACCTTAAGGAGAAAAACAAGGACCTTCAGTCTTTCCTCGTTCAAATGAGAGACGCTGTTAATGCAGCTTTGATTAACAAGGCAAAAATGCTGGGGACACTACAAGCAGCTTGTAAAGCACTGAAAATACTTGCTTCTACTGGCAACAGTGAACAAATAGGCCAAGTTGAAGAAATCTATAAAGGAATCCTTGAATCAGATGGGGAAATGCCTTCAAAGGACGACTCACATGGAGCAATCCAGAAACTCGAATCAGGAAAGGAAAAGATGAAACGATATAAGAGGAAAGCTGAGGCTTTTCAAGTAAAAGGAAGTGTTCATGATAAGTGCAAGGAAGCACGGGAGGAATTTAAGAAAGCTACTGAGGGGAATAACTAGCCATTTTACTAGCACGAACAAGATTGTCTCATCTGTCCTGTTGAATATATAATACTCAATGATTAATCTTTCTCTACTTCACTGGCCAAATAGTAATTTGAGAGCTCAGGAATAGATTCGATTTTTTGAATTGATATAATACCAACAAGGACAAACTTATCTTGCCAAGAGTACACTTTGACGACGACAAAGGTAAATCACATCAAGAAGAACAAGCAAAGATCGTGTCGACATGACAACAATAAACTTTGCAATATATTGTTTATAATGACACCCCTCAACCTCATTATTCGTGTTGTTAACAAGTTAAAACCCAAACACTACCTGCTATTACTACAGTGACTGATTATTGGAATTGGAAGCATGCCCAACAGTAAATCTTCTAAGTGTTCCAATGCTTCTAGTTGTTCTGCAAAGAGTGAATATAATGAGACACGCTCTGGTGCTCTTAAAGCAATTGTTAACCCATACATCAAGGTGAAACTACAGAATGAAATTGATTCTCTATATCAAAGTTGCAAGACAGCACAAGAGGAGAAACAAAAGGAAGGAGAGATTACGGAAGGGACCTGTCGGCCAGGCGAAAGTAAAGATAATACTGACAAAAACACAACTCCCGGGTTGGAAAGAAAGTACAAGGATCAAGATAACCAATCAGGAAAACAGAAAATAATCGTGAAGAGGACTGTGGAAGATCTCATCTTGGACTTGAATGTACTAATTAGTACGATTGAAAGACAGCTTGACATAGATCCTAATCAACAAGGCTACATTGACGAGCACCTTAAGGAAAATAACAATAAACTTAAAGTATTTCTGGTTCAAATCAGAGACACGCTTGATACATCAACAACTTACAAAGAAAAGATGCCAGTCATACTTGATGCTGCTTGTAAGGCATTGGAGACTATCACTTCTTCAGGCAAAGATGACAAGAGACAGAAGGTTGAAGAGATCTATAACAAGATACTTGCTTTGGACAACCAGATGCCACCAATTGATGACACAGAAGAAGCGGCGCAGAATCTCCAATTAGGGAAGAAAAAGATGGAAGAATACAAGTCGAGGGCTGAAGCTTTGCAGGTTGAGGAAAGTGTTCATGACAAACGTGAGGAAGCACTGGAGGAATTTAAGAATGCTACAGGGGAAGCAAAGAGTTAATTGATTGGTAAACGTGATAAAATGTTTTGTTTTAATGTTTACAGTGCTCAGAATGCATAACCCATCTTTGCTACCAAATAAACCATTGTGATTCGTTTATTTAATTTATTTACCTTTTTATTCGCGTAATAAAGCGTGTCGTCATCTAGTGTACAAAGGAAGATCAGAAATGGTGTACATAGTAGTAAGACTTCAAGTTTCCACAGCGATAGATAGCATGGGTTCAATTCAAATGGTATAGACAGCATGGTGAGATATTACTCCGTTAAACGGCGTGGGAAACGAACGTAAAAGAATAGACATGGACATTAAGATTCGGAGGGGAAACAAAATGATTTAGTAGGAAGGGTTGGAAGACGTTCACTGATTAAATCTGCAGCATAGCTAGAGGCTAATAGCGGTCTGATTCGTAGTCGTTCCAGTAGTCGATAACTTCGGCTTGATGTGTCATGACCGCTTTGTCGAAGCGAACAGGATTGACGCGTGGATTGACGAACTGCGTATCCAGATTAGTCAGTTGAAAAGTTTTAAACACACTATCATCTCCGACCTTTTCGTTATATTCATTCATTACTTCCGCGGAGAGGATCTGCTTGTCTTTCATCAACCCTGCGTAGCTACTGCAAAGAAGATGAATCTGAAAATAGACATGAGATAAATTTACTCGGCGTTTCGTGCAAGGAAAACCCACTTGGAGACCGATAATACCCATAATCGTGAACATCACAATCCAGTTCGAACCGGTTGTCGCCACCCACAAGAACGCGTGAGCAGGGGAGTACACCGCGAAGAGACTCATTTCCAGTTCACCGGGCTCCCATACGCTCAGCTGTTGCACGCGTTCTACACGTGCGCCCTCGGCGACGCGCGGAGCCGGTGGCTTAAAGTTGAGTAAGAAACGCCAGGAAACGGAGAACTGATACCAAAGCCAAGAGAATACACGATACAAAAGCGAAGGTGTCTCAGGTGGGGTAAGGTCTATTTGCGCGTCGACGAATGCCGCACGAGGTGAGTTGACAAGTGTAGTCCTATGGTGGAGGAAGTAGACGCGGTTCTGAGAGAGAAGGCGGAAGGCATTGTAAAAGGAGGCGGCAATAAGGAGGAAGGTTACAGGCGTTGTCTGGAAGCTCGGAATAAACTATGAGAATATTTGCCTTTGATGGATCAGACTCACCCAGTCAAACCAGCTTGTACCTCTGTGCTCGTTGTACAGATCGGCCCACGGTAATTCTTCCTCGGCGACTTGTCGGCTTTGTGAAACACGAACCAAGAGGTTAATTACGTGTAATGAGCCACCAATTATCCACGCGCTTGGCTTTGGGTCTGGTAGGGGGACATTATGAGGGAACATTGAGATCTCGTCTACAATCCTGCTGGGCAAGGATGAAATTCTGACCATTTAAGTTAGCGACCAAAATGTACCGTTAATTTACAATTTCATTCACCTTTTGAACAGACCGGGTCGTTTAACGACACGTTTCTGCGCATTTTTCAGACCTGCTTCACTTTTCCGGGCCGCTCTGGCTCTAGCACCATCCAGTGGACCACCATAAGGAGGCGGCTTTCTAAGGCGGACAGCCTCCCAATCGAATGGTTGCGACGCCGAACGTGAAGGTCCTTCTGTAGGTGGAATTGACTGTGCCACCAGCTTGGAAGGAGATATCTGTTGCAGTCCACCAGCAAGTGAGGATCGCGGTGTTCGGGACATGTGAGACGCCAAGCTGGCGCGTCCGCCGTTTACTGGCGACTTTGGAGGTGTGCCAGTACCGATGTCAGAGAATGCACGGCTCTGTCGTCGAGAGGGCGCCTCTGGCACAACTTCTGCCCTGCCGTTTGCTTTCATGAAGTTACGGAACATCATGCTAGGTTGAGGGACAAAGGTGAAGGTGAACAAGGGAGCCGCACGTAACATGCGACAAACGCGACTCGCGACGTAACGCGTGTGACATAACGTGATTCCTCCAATGGCACTGCGCGTGAGCGCCTCTTCCACGCCTGCTATCCTTGCCTCATTCCGCCACGACTGTAGCGGTGATACGACCACTTTCACAGGTATGGGGAAACGCAGGACCTCCGGAGTAGAAAGCGACGAAGACGATGCTGAATTTGTAACGTCTTCCAAACGCGCCCGCGTCGAAGACGACGATGACGACCACGTCCGAGAGGAGGAGAGTGACGAGCAGAAGGCCTTCGAGGCCAGGTATGGCGAGCTGGTCAGAGCTTCAATCGAAGCGAAGCAACACTACCAAGGAGTGAGTCTGGCAATCTACCGGATTTGCTTACTATTTCTGAAAGCGAGCGTATCTTAGAGGATTGCCGACTGTGGCATTATTCAATCATTAGAAATGCAACAATTTATGTGCCACCCGCGCTTATCGTTCACTTTTGGCCCGCAGATAAACTTCATTATTGGTACGCGTTTTTTTGCGTATGCTCAAGAAAGTGCTTCTCACCAGAATTTGCCCATACAGGACACAATGGAAGTGAGTATTCATACCATAGATCTCGAGACTATACGCAATGAACGACTGTGATAGGCGGAAAGAGTGCAGTCCTATCCGCTTTGACAATCGCACTGGGCGGTAAGGCCATCACTACAGGCAGGGGTAGCGGCCTTAAGTCGTTCATCCAGGAAGGTAAAACGTGAGTACAAGGAGTCAAAATATTCAGTCTTTCGGTTTAATCGCTACCGATAGATGGTCAGAGGTAACGATAACCCTAAAGAATGAAGGAGAAGACGCATACAGGCCGGACGTCTATGGCAAATCAATCACTATCATTCGAAACTTCACCAAGGCAGGTTCCACCGGATACAAGATCAAAAGTAGAGATGGGAAGACCGTCAGTACTAAGAGAGAAGAGTTGGCAAAGATCTGCGATCATATGAACATCCAAGTCGACAATCCCATGAATGTACTGACGCAGGGTAAGGAGTGTCAATGCATCCCTTGAACTTTGCCGTGTATTTACTGTCCTATTAGATTCGGCACGACAGTTTCTCAGCACTTCTCACCCTACTGATAAATACGAAGTAAGGCTTTCTTCGCAGTCAGAAGGAGTTGCTATTGCTTATTGCTTCCTTCATAAGTTTTTCCTCAAGGCCACGCAACTCAAACAACTGAGCGAAGAGTATGAGTCTTGTCTCGAGAACATTGGGAAAACATACAAGATTTTGGAAGCGAAGAAAGAGGTCTTGCCCGAGCTGAAGGCTACTGCTATCGAAGCGCAAAATCGTTATAAGGGAGCACAGCTAGCTTTGCAGACAAGAGGAAGAGTGACCGAGCTGAAGCAAGAGCAGGCATGGGCGTTTGTCCAAGATAAAGAAGAAGTAAGGATTCTCAGCCTGAATGATTCTCAATCCTCCTCCCTATTTGCGTACTCATGTTTGTGGGCCGCCTGTAGGAAATGAAGGCAAAGATCGACGAAGTCGCTAGGAGATCGCGAAAGCTGCCTAAGCTCAAGGATAAAGTTGATGCAACCAAAGTACGACATGACCTCTCATAATCGTACTTTAATGCTTATTCGACGGTTCTCGTAGAAACTACACGATGAGCATAGCGAGAAGATTGCGGACCTCGAGACTGAGATAAAAGATCTTGGTGATATTAATCATCTAAACCTTCAGCAAGCCGAGATCAAAGGCAAACTGAAGGCCAACAAGACGAAGCTTCGGGAGTATCAGGTATATAAGCTTGCAGCTGGCCCCTCGGATGCTCATTAATACCACTCTTTAGGCTAGCGAGAAGGAGATGAGCATCGAGCTAAAGACGGCCAAAAATACGATCGAAGACCTTCAAGAGAGGATCGCTACCGAAACAAGGAAGCTGCAAGAGGACAAGAAAGCCGAACAAGAGGAACGGCAGCGTAAGCTGGAGGCGGCCAAGAAGGCTGTCAGTGAGCACGAGGCCCGCCGGAACGAGATCAACGATCACCTTCGTCAATTCGAGGAGGATATGGGGCCATTAAAGACTAAAGTTGCCGATACCGAAACTACTTTGCAGAATAGCAAAGCAACAATGGAATCCTGTTCTCGCCGGTTGAACGAGCTTAACCGACAAGCAGTCGACAGTGTCAGTGTTTACGGAAACAATTTGCAACAGATTCTGGAGCGAATCAGTACAATGACATGGCACGGCAAGAAACCTGTGGGCCCTCTGGGGTTATATGTTTCATTGCGTGAGCGGCAGTGGACAGACATTATTCGTGCAACTCTGGGATCGTACATGACGTCTTTTGCTGTCACTGATGCCCGTGATCGAGTACAGCTGAGAAAGTTACTAGTGGATTCAAAAAAGTAAGCTCGAGCCTTCGTCATTTGGTACAATCATATCTGACGTCTATGTCTATGCCATTTTGCAGTGGCCATATGCAAGTATTCGTCGCATCGGATGATCTATTTGAATACGAAAGCGGTGAGCCTCCAAGGGATAAGGTCACTATATTGCGAGTGCTTGAGGTGACGTCTATCTTAATCTGCCTATTAAACAAGTTATTATAACTTTGTTTGATTTGGTGTAGTTTCCTAATAACCCTAGTGGTGAATACGTGAAACGCATACTAATCAACAATAGTCGGATTGAACGCACTTTCCTTGCTCCCACTCGCGTGGAGGCTGAGCGTCTTGCGGAAGAGGCGAATGGTGGTACAGCCATATCGGCTGACTTTTACAGGGTGACGGCCTATCCGTGAATACTCTTTCTGCGATATGACAGCAACCCAATTGGACATCTCTAACAAATTTTTGTTTAGCGAGGGCGGCTCATACTCGCAACCAATTCAGGAGCTCAGGAATGAAGATCCCAGAATGCGGTATTTCGCACACGAAAATCCTCAAGCAGAGAGACAGTGAGGTTCCAGAATCATATCAATAGTCTAGGAAATTAATCTTTGATTGCAGACATTGGAAGGAAAAAGGAAGACAGGCGGACGAAGCATATCAGCAGGCGAACACCGAGATGCAGAAGTACAGGCAGGAACTAGACGAGCTGAATAGACAACGTGCCATTCGCAGTGTACGTCCCCGCCGATATATTTTAGTCTGTTATCTAAATGGCTTTTCCACAAGAACGAAGCAAAGGGTATCGAAAACAGGCTTTTCAAACTGAAGCAAGACCTGCGTACCTTGCAGAATGAGCACAACGATGATATTCCGGTCAACATTTCTTCCTTAGAAGAGGCCATGAAGGTTCGTGAATAGTACCTTACCTTGTCGACGGATGACCGAACCGGTTGTTGCTAGGAAGCGGAGGAGACCAAAGAGAATATCGTGAACCAGTTTAAGGATCTCGTCACAGCTAAGGGCGAGGTGGATAACGAGCAAAAGCAACTGCTGACAGAGTTGAAAAAGATAACGGCTCAGGTGGACGAATTTGAGAGCAAAAGAAGTGATTTGGAGGTACGTCGTAGCCTGAATATATAGCGATAACGAGTTTGATTCCGATCAAATTTTTGAATTTGCAGAATGAAGTTGTGGATGCTTCCGGAAAACGCAGTCGAGCGCAAGCAGAGATGAGGACTTGCGAAGAGAAACTTAGAGTGGAACAAAGGGCGATCGCTGAGCTGGAGCTAGCCGCGAAGAACCTGCAGTTGGAATTCGAGGTACGAATGTCTCTGGTATTGTTTGACCTATCATACCTGATCGCAGCTTTAAATAGAATTGGACGAGACACGCTGAAGAGTTCTGCGATGGCAAGAGGGTCGAAAATCCTCGTAAATCGACTGAAGTTGAGCGTGAGCTGAAGTCTGTCCAGGCGGCGCTCAAGCAACAAGAGAAAGAGTAAGCACTTTCTTGTGGTCGCGCTTTTCAACGTTGCTAAATCGATTTAGGAATGGAGCAACTCTTGAAGAACTAGAAGAAGCGCTTCAAGAAGCCAAGCAGAAATATCAAAACACGGAGCAAGATCTCAAGAACCTATCGAAACTCAATAGGGTAGGGTTTATGCTCTTCTTTGCTTCTTTTTCGAGAGGAAATCTAACATCACCCAAACATTAAGGCTCTAAAAGAGTCTATAGTCAGACGGCTGCAGCGCTGGCACGACTTCCGACGACACATCGCACTCCGCACCAAGTTACAATTCCAGCACCATCTTGCCATGCGAGCTTACTTTGGGAAAGTGCTATTCGACCATGACAAGCAGAAGTTGGAGCTGAAGGTGCAGACGGACGACCAGGCTGCAACGCAAGGGTTGAATAAGGATCCGAAGTCGTTGAGTGGGGGCGAGAAGTCGTTTGCGACGATTTGTTTGTTGCTTGCGCTTTGGGAAGCTATTGGGTGTCCGATTCGTTGTTTGGGTACGTGTTGATATCCGAGTCAGAGAGAAGGGTGGTGTTGGACTAATGAGTGTGTGATTGCAGATGAATTCGATGTCTTCATGGATGCTGTCAATAGGCGTATATCCATGAAAATGATGGTATGTTTCTCCTTTCCCTTCTTACCTTCTGTATCTTCCTTTCTCCTCTCCCTTCGACTGGTATTCACTGATACACCTATCTATCTATCTAACTCGACAGATCGACACTGCCAACGCGTCAGACAGCAAACAATACATCCTCATCACGCCTCAGGATATGAGTACTGTCGCTTTTGGTCCGACTGTGCGTGTACATCGGATGGGCGATCCGGAGCGTGGGCAGACAACGCTTTGAGTCGTTAAGTGATGTTCCAGTTTCTTTTTCCCCTTCTTTTTGGTAGGTGCCTTCTTTTGGATGGTGGGTTTACTGAAAATACTAATACTTTCGGTCTTCCTACCATAGTTTGCTTACTCTCACTGGCTTTAGTAGACCTTGTGCATTTCACTTACCTATTTTCTCTAGCTTTTTGCTTTTTGTGTTGACTATTCGTTACCATCACAGTTAACAGCTAATCAGTGCTCCTACACAAATTCGGTAATGCCTACCAATACTTTCATCTTTATTTCTAACACAACGTTACAATAACAAAATTCAACCGAAGTGGTTTTCATAAAGCAGATCGATTCTTGTGTTTCTTCATCGTGTATCAGTCAATGTTGATCAATATCCATTCTAGGTTGTTGTATATTGTGTCAAAAAAACAAACAAGTGATAAAAGACATCAGGCATTGAGCTCATGCAAGTCAATTCCAATTGTTCGTGAGGACTGATAGTGTAAGTAAAATGATATAATTGATGAGGATAGGTATCGCTGTAAGTAGTGGTAGTAGTAATAGGAAAAGGCAGTACAGTTGTGTAAGACAAGACAGAAAACCCATCTCGCAGAGGCGAAACAAGTCTAAGGAATCCAAGACGAGCAAGGAAAAGGAAAGCCAACAAGACAGCAACAATACATCGATGTGCGTCGCGGACCACGCCGCCAGAGTGGGAGGGGTAGGGGAGTGGGGGAGTCATGAGTTCATTTCATTAAAAATATCCATCCAACTAAGTATGTAAAATGCATGCGAGCCGTTTACCAAAGCCGTCGACGCAAGGGATTGCGTGCACGACGAAGGGTGATTGTCTCCTCTTCCTCCTCTTCGTACTCTGGTTCAGCAGAAAGCGGTACATTCTCATAGATGATCTCGGATATGGTCGTAGGAATGCTTGGTGGCTCGGATGGTGCACTGAAAGAGACCGGACGAGGGAACTCGGCAGGACGAGTGCTAGCAGGGGCCGGAGCAGCACTAGAACTCGCAGCAGGCGGCGGCAGGGGTACGGAACGTTTATCGGTGTATGTCACTGGCTTGTCAGAAGGGGGAGGGGGAAACGCCTAAACCGAAAGACAACACAGAGGTCAGTAAGTCCTGATACTGGTGGGGGTAGGGAGGAGGGACCGTCCCGAACCCCAGACGAAGGAGAGGGAACGATCCGTACAAGTTGAAGAAGGCAGGAATATACGGGAGACTTAAGCCCTCCTTCGTCTCAGAGCTCGGAGCGGCGGGGATTGGTAGGAGGTACCTTGATTTTGCGCTTTCCACCCGCTGGCGTGTCGATCACATACTCCTCCTCAATCACCTGTGGATCACCGCCGAGTGCACTGTAAAGGTTGTGAAGTGTCGGGTTAGCGGAAGTAAAAAAATGTGAAAAAAGAAATAAACGCGCTCACATGAGCTGTTCAATGATCCACGCCTCGCGACGCTGCGCGTCGTGCTCGCGGCGGTTCAAAATCTCTTCGCGACGGCCCATGTCCTTTTCACGATCAGCGACCTTAGTTTCGCGCTGAATGAGATCCTCGATACGCTTCGTCAGTTCGCTCGTATTCGTGTCGTGAGTCGGCAGGGGTACAGGAACAACACCATTTTCGGTGTGATGGATAACTTCCTTGTAGATGGTTTGTACAGGAAGGGCATTCTCGATGTACTCAGTTACGGTTGCATAAGGCTGGCAGGTAGCGAGTGCCCCAGCAAGAATCTCAGCTTCACGTTGAGCGACTTCACTTTCTCGCTTGGCGACTGTGTGTTCACGAGCAACGAGAGCCTCAGAGCGACGCGGGTTGAAGAAAGAGCCCCAAAGACCAGCACCGTTAGTCGTCGAATCACCACCACCACCACGGAGAGCATCCATGGCATTAGAGGCGGCAGAGCCTGCTCCTCGGGTTGAGGGCAGAGAGAGCATGACTGCGAGAACCGCAAGGACGAGCGAAAGGATGAGCAGAAGTGTTGTCGATGAGATTGTTCGGTGATGGTGGTGCGAGCGCTCTCGAATCACGCGTTCACGCTCGCGGTCACGGTCGTGGTGGGAGGACGAAGGGTTTGCCATGTTCCTTACACTAACAGATGCGGAGGGGGAGATTGAAGTCGCTGCGGGAACTGAGCGAGATGGACGATCGTATGTGACAAACGAGGTTGTGGCCGACGTGGTGGGCGACAAGGGGGGTGACGGGCGACGATGAGCTCGACGGCGTCGAGGAAGACGAGGGGGACGAGGGGAAGATGGGGATCGCGGTGAAGGAAGAAGAGCAAGAACAAGAGGACGAGAAAGTGCGCGGACAGAAAAGTTGAACATTGGGTAATAAATAATTATTGGTCAGCTTGTTTGGCTACTATATTTGCACACCACGAGCGTATTTGTGCATATGTGGACACCATTTCGCTTCCGGTCCCCCAGAACGTGCATCTCCCGTCGTTTGGTGCGTGTGTATCCAGCGTGTGCATCTTTCGGTGCATTCTCTTAGTGTCCTTTTGTTCATTAAAATCCTGTTGCTGTAACCGTACGTCTTATAACATACAGTTCAGCGAAGTGCGGCAGTTCACGGGGAGAACTAACAGGCCTGTCGATCCCGTCGGAAGTTACTCATTAAAAAAAAACAGAATTAAGAAGCCAGAGGTTATTCCAGTGCTGGGCCCTGTATGCCTCCGCCGTTCAAGAAGTTTAGGTGTAAAGTGAGCATTGAGTCATAGACGCCCATTGTCCTTATTCTAATACTCATCCCTTTTCATCCACATCTAATCACCCCGGCTTTCCCAGTGGTACAACGACTCTGGCCATCCGCGCGTAAACCCGTGGAAACTTGAGCAAGATGCCCCCGACCGGACAGGCTGCAGGTTCACAGCGTGGAAGTGTATCTACGTCCACCCAGAGGATCCAACCTGGGGCACAGCACAACGCTCTAAACCACCCAAGGCCTATGAATACCCTGATAATCAGGTTCCGAGGACACCAAGCCCGTTCGGTAGGATACGCAGAACTAGAAGTCCGGAGCCGCGCGTCAAGTACGAACCACAGTCTCCTCGCCTTCCGCGTAATGGCCAGTCCTCCGACAGAAGCAGGACCCTATCCCAGGAATTTCGTCGGGATTCGTTGTTGGACCGTGTGGACAACCGACCACCGCCGTCTCCCTATCCACTGGCTCGTGGAAGGAGCGCAGAGCGGGTCTGGGAGACTAACAAGGGCCACCGTACACCGCAGGACTTCTCTCGCGACAGAACCAACAGCGATCGAGAAGAAGGCTTCATTAGTGATCGAGAACGCACCGAGAGCAACAACGACTGGGATCGTGCCAGTGATAGAGGTTCCGAACGCAGTCGTGAATTCATAAGATCTCCTGTACGGCAGAACAGCAAGGCCACCCGTCCGATATTTAGTGTCAAACCGATGTCCTTGGATGGCCATGGGCATAAAAGAACAGCAAGCGGCGACAAGACAGGATCTACATCTCCTTCTCTATTAGAACGTATGGCCTCTGCTCCGAGACAACCTCGAGGTACGCTAATTTCTTTCGCGTCTATCATCCCGAATCTAATCATTTTTGGATGGATCTCTTACGCCCGGATTTTCGCGATTAATAACTTACATAAATAAACACGGGGTGACTAACTCAATTTCAGCCCTGGATCGAGCAATTGATCGCAATCCATTACCACCCCCCGACCCGCCGCCTTCCATCCCTCCTCCTCCGCCTCCCTTCAGTCCTTCGCGTCCATCTAGTCGTAGTAACAGTAACTCTTTTACAACTGCTGGTCCTCCACCAGAGAGCACAATGCCCTCGGCGCGTTCGTCAATGCCACCTCCGCCAACGCCTGTCTCGGCCACCTCCACTGTTACGACGTTCCCGCCCGCGTTGCCGCCAAAACCAGCGTTCCTCAACCCTCCTAATGATTCTTTGAAGAAAGAGTCGCTTACACGCGAGGAGCGCAGGAAGCTTTGGGGGGAACGCATAGAGTGAGCTGTTCCTTCACGCTATTAATACTATTATGACTGTCTTATATTGACTACCTTTTCTTTCTCTGAATAGATTACTCTTCGAAGCAGGCGCTGCAAAAAGAGCATACTCTGACTGCGTCACGGACGTCAAAGAGAAACAAGTTTTCACTTCATCAGAACGAACTGAGCGTCTCGGTGATGCTGTGCGCGAGAGCATAACGCGTTCTCTCCAAGCAGCAGAAGCGAAACGTGAAACGGCGCGTTCGCGTTCGTTATCTACGCATGAGAAATTGCTGGAACTCGATTTTTGGCCTGTCCGTCGACGACCCGAGTTAACCGAACTTGTAAAGAGGGAGGAAGAAGAGAAGGTGATTGAAGATGGACATGCGGAGGTGAAGAAGCAGGCGAGTGAGCTAGGGGACGCGTTGAGTCGGATTGATAGGCAGTTGAAGGAGGTGACACAGTTCGTTGCGTCGCGTACAAAGTCTAATGCTGTGCCAACTTCTACACCGATGGATGGGGAACCGACGGACGCGACTGCGCGCGCGACAAAACGGAGGAAGGTTGGAGAGGATAGCGCATATACGAGTGATTCGGGCTCGACAACGCTGGGTCGTGCGTCTCCCTCCCCCGCTGCATCTGCGTCTGCAGCCATCGCACGTCAGCACCGCCAAATTCGAAAACGACTCACAAAGCTCGAATCAGACTTCCACGAACTCGAGAACCTCTACATCCAATCCGAGCATGACGCACAAGAGGAGCTCGAGTCGCAGGTAGATCATTATGTCGACACTAGGCGTGAGGAGTTTGTTAAAGAACCGCTCGCGCGGGTTACGCGTTTGGAAAAAAACGTAGAGCGGTTGGACAAGGACGTGAAGGTGATTGTTGTGGAGCTTACGGAACTTATTGGTGCCGAGGAGGAAATGAGGGAGGTGATGAATAATATTATGGAGGAGCAGGCTCGTGCAGAGGCAGAGGGTGCCAGGGTAATTTTTTTTATCTTTCTCTCTCCTTCTTATATGTTCTTGGTACTGACACATAACGCACAGATCCGTGCAGCTACTGTTGAGAGTATCTTCCGAGGCAACGATCTCCAAGAACAACTCGAAGCTCAGCTCAAAGAATGGGAAATCGTCAATGCCAAGCTCGCGTCCCTCGAAAAAGAAAAAGAAAAAGAAAAAAATAATTCGTCATCCCATCTTCCATCCCCCGAGTCACCCTCCTCAGATCCGTCGTTGTCTTTACCACCCGCACACACACCAACACTCCAACATCTCTTCACTCTCCTCTTTCCGCACGTCCTCGATGCCATTCGTACCAAGTTCGTCGTGCCTCACCTTATTGAAACGAAAGAAGACGTTGTGAAGATCATTCGTGAACAGTTACACGAGAACTTACCCCAGGAGGTGGAACTTGTAAGGGAGAAGGTGGAGAAGATTACAAAAGCACCAGAGGTAATGACTCTTCTACAGAGTGCTGGTATGCTAGGCGTAAATGGCGTTGGTAACGTCAGTAGAGAAGAGGGTGGGCATGCAGGGTTGAATGGTCCTCATACTCAGGTGAACGGGAAAGGGAAAGGGACTAGTGAATCAACAACAAATTCACCCCCAATACCTTAACCCTTGTTCCTTTATTCACTGCTATATTTTCACTTTGATCCCTATCGTACTTTGACTTCTCTATTGTTATTTACACATATTATAATCCCTCTTACCCTCAATTGTTTATAGATGTAAGGCCGGAGCCTCACTCAGGAACACAGAACGGGCAATAATATAGGATTGAGCTCTAGTGACCTAAGTACAGAAGTAAGGTACAAAGATAAGATTCAAAGTAGCTACCTACAACCCCTTTATATGTATTCTAAGTCATGTGTGTAACCTCAGAGGTTACACTCTTCCCTACTCTAAAGAAATTGAAAGGGGGGAGGGGTAGGGGAGTGTAAGATTATGAGTTAAGAAAAGGAAAGGGAAAGTAATAGTTGTTGAAGAGTATCCAGAACTAGGTCAAGTAGAAGATTCAAGATACTAGCTCACCTGAAGAAAGAGGAAATCCTGCTAACACAGTCTTTAGCTTAGAATAAGAAAGTTTGGGACACAGAATTAGAGAGTAATGACAAAAGTAAACTAACAGAGCTCTCTAATTTAGAATTGCAAATGACTAGGACAATATTACTTATATAGACACACCTTCAGATACTATTGTTAATACAGTTAAGAACATGAATGTTAAGATTGTTAGGATTACAGGATTGGACCTATTTCATTTTCTTTATATCTCTGTCAGTTTTGTAAAAAAACCAACATTACTACTGGATTTTTATGATTCTTAACATCTTATCTATTGTTCTACAAAGTTTCATAGAGATTGTTGTAGTATTGAGTGCAGGAGAGAGCTACAGAGATACAAGGTAGTGTATACAATTATAACACAGCCAATCTATTTCTTACCTAATATAGTAACTTGTGCCTCTTTTGTGTAATAGTCTCTTAGTCTATATTCTCTAATACACAATACTCTGTTAATTCTTCCTGGCCTCTAATATGCCTGTTAGCTTTACAATATTTGTTCTTATTATTTCTTTAATCTTATTCTTAAGTTTCATTCCTTACTTTACTCTTGTTATTTAGTTATTATAAAAAGCAGCCTGTAAATACAGTAGTTCCTTAGTTTTTTGACTCTTCTTGTATTCCTACTTGTTCTCCTAGCATAAATCCTAGCTGGTAGCTTTAGGAATATAGTTGGATTAAGGGCTGTAGGTTTACATTTACAGTTTAAGAGTGTTATTAACCTAGAGAACATATCTCTTCTAATATAAGAGTCAAAAAACTTATCTCTACCTTAATACTACTCTTAGTCTGAGCCACTACTTGATCAATATCCTCCTAGTCTAAGCTACTGTTTGACTACCCTCTCTATCTAATCTAACTCTCCTTTGAGTCTAAAATACTGTTTGATTTGTTTTCTACATATAGTTAGAGCTACTACTTAACTTTTTCTAACTCAAGCTACTACTCAGTCACTCCTCCTACTCAATCTGCCCAATCTGCCCAATCTGTCTAATCTAAGCTACTACTTAGTTAGTTTGCTAAAACTGAGCTACTACTTGTTTGAGTATTCCTTACTCTCTTTATAAGCTTACCTTTTACTTTCTTAAAGAACTATTAAACTGATTTACTATCTTATTAATTCTATATTGTCTCTCACTCATTTGTTACTTTATTTTTCTATTATTTTATACTCTACTCTTAAGGTTGTATTACTACTATCCTTTACTCTCTTTCACTCTTTTGAGTTTGTGTGTTGTCTTTACAATTTACATAGTTATACTCTTTTCTAAACACTTTTTAACTTACTACTTGTAAAGATCAATTTCTAGCCTTTATTTACTGGTTGACTAGAGTCTCTCTCAAGTAGTAATACCTTTAGGAACCTTATAGTCTGAAAGTCCAGTATTGTCTTACAGTTATTTAGTATTATTAGATAAGAGTTACTAGATTGTGTTTAGAACAAATATAATCCTCTATTAACACTAGTATAGTAGTGTTAACTATTACACTAAAAGGCTAGTATAATTACTAATTAGTAATCTATACTCTACACTCTATATAAGTACATGTTACTAAATTAAGGTACTGTCCTTAATAGTAGCTGTTCACATATAGTAAGCTACTAAGCTTATACTTCTTTACACATTCTAAACTTTAGTATGAGTTTTCCTTATATAAGACTCTAAGGGTTACTATTTCTGACAGAGCCTTAAGCTGAACCTGTTCAACCTACTCTAGAGATTGAACTGCCAACCTTGATCAGTGATTATGTAATCCTCTGTCAACACTAGTGTAGTAGTGTCAACCATTATACTAAAAGGCTAGTATAATTACTAATTAGTAATCTATACTTTACACTCTATATAAGTACATGTGTAAGCCTGTTTAACAACTTACAACAGTTTCTACACAGTTCTGTACCTGTCCTAGTATAGAACTGTGTATCCTACACACAGATTCTTATAGTAGCTTACTAAGTTACACACTTTTCCTTGTAATTGTATTAAGTCCCCTTTTCATTATAACTACCTTCCTTATATTCTTAGATACATACTATCCTCTTTGTCTTCCTCTTTAAGTATGTATTATGTTCCCCCTTTTTTGTTCCTCCTTTTATTTTCCCCTTTAAGTATAGACTATTTCCTTAGTATATATAGTTAGTATTCTTTACCTTTATTGTATTAGTTTGTATTTCTGACTATAATAAAGGTAAGTTCTTTGTTAGTATATGTATCAGTTTGTATTTCTAACTATAACAAAGATACCTTTGTCCTGTCAGCCTTTGTATATTACTACAAACACAGAACTTGTTTGTAATAGTGTTTAGTACTTCCCTAGTACTGTTCTACTTTTTTTTTAATATTAACAAAGTAGTCTTTATTGTACTATATGTTAGTAAGGTTCCTTTAGCCTTCCTAAACATCTTCTACTATTAGTAAGGTTCTTTAACCTTTTTAAATACTCTCTACTGTTAGTAAAACTCTCTAACCTTTCTGAACACACTACTATAGCCCTAAAGTAAGTTCAGCCCTCTTTCTAGCTACATATAAATAGGTCTTGTTTTCTTTAGTATTAAGTATTCTTAGAAGCTATTATAGTTACTCCTCTATTAACTAGAGAATTAGTATTCACTTCCTTAACACTACTATCATTTATAACTACTCTAAGCTCTAATTTAGAGAGTAGCTTAGAGTTATTAGAAGTAGATAGTAATATAAGTGAGTCTATCTTAAGTTACTAGAAAGTTATAATGTTCTAAACTATGTTTACTAAAGCTTAGCTTATCTGAGAGAATGTTATAAAGTCTTTAATATTGACTCTAAACAATCTAACACTATATACTCTCTAGTTATAGATCTCTACATTCTGTAAGTATGTGTCTACTAAATCTGTTCTTACAACCTGTATAGTTGTAGTTATAATAGAATACTTACAGGATAGTAGACTATACTAGTAGTACAAGTATAACCAGTCTAAGCTTAAGAGGCTTATACTAGACACATTCTATTAGGAGCTTTAGTGTAAGATACTCTCTACAAACTAGGTAGAGTAAACCTAGAACAAGCTGCTTGTAACATAATAAGATAGTTACAACTTCTAGAAATAGTAACTATAAGTTACTAGAATAAATTTCAGTCTTGTAGAAGATTAGTACTTTAATTCTGACAGGCTTTACAAGCCTCTTAAGACTAATCTACACTCTGATCTTTAGTTTAAGCTCTACCTTACTCTTACAAAGCTGGTTCTAACTTACACTAAACAGATTGTAACATATATAGAAAGGGTACACATAATAGTACTAGTAAATAGTCAAATCCTTAATCCTGTAGATCACCTTCTAACACTAGAATCAATCCTAGGAAGGGAGGTAACAGACTGTGTAAGACTCTACAGATAGTTAGAGTATGTATACAAACTGACAGAACAGTTAGAAGTAAATTGTACAAAGGTTTACAATAGTATAGAGACTATCTTAACTGTAAAACAGGTCTAGAAGAAGGACTAGGAGAAGCTATACATTAGGAAGTTTACTCTAGTAACAGTCAACCTAAAGATTACCTTAGAAAGTACTATAAAGTGTATTACCTTATTTTATATAGAGTACTAACTCCTAATAAAGAACTAGGAATGTTTTTAGTACTGTAAACTGTTTGTAAATTATAAGAGTAATACTTGTCTAATAGGTCTGCTAAAACCTAAAGACACAGTTCTTATTATAGAAGTATATATAGAGTCTCTATGTTTAAAGCAAAAGTCTACTATACTTGTACAAACTAAGTAGTCTATAGTACTAGAACTTACAAGTAGAGACAAATCTGAGTACATTCTAATTTCTAACTTCTTACTATTCTCTAACTACTATATTCTTACAGAAGACAGTTCTACTCTAATCTGTATCTGACCTATAATTGACTCTAACTGTTCTACAGTTCTGATTAACAAGAAACTAGTGTCCTAAATAAGTCTTAAGTACTTCCTACTCAAAAGACACATTATTATAATACTAGCTATTAAATTAGTAAAAGAGTCAGAAAAATAGATTACAGAGTAGGTAAAGTTACAAGTATAGTTAGTAGATTAGAAATAAACATTAAAGGTTGTAAAAGCTTGTATAGCTAATAACTTGTATAATAAAATGATTCTTAATACACTTTTCCTTTAGAAGAACTAAATTGTTATTAATATAAAAGGCTAGATAGTTATTCTAAAGGATTCTGAATGTAATCTAATAAAGGTAGAAAAGACAGAATCAGTCTGTATTCTACAACCTACATATATCCTCTTAGAACCAGTACTATCCCTAACTGTAACTGTTTAAGAGTGTATTAAGACACTAGCTAAGTTAGAGTAATATAAGACTTTAAATAGGGAGCTAAAGTAACAATACTAAGATTGCTTCCTAGACTCTATACTATCTGTTACAAAACTTCTAGAAGGGATTATACACAATATACAGTTTAAGGACCTGTTAAAGGTAGTAGTTACAAGGTCTTATACATACTTGTAGAAATACTAGAAGGCCTAGTATATACTCTTAAACTAGTACATTCAAGCTAGTTGTTTATAGAGGTTAGAAAGTCTATACACATTACTTACATTCTTAATCCTAAAGGCAGATCCAGAAGACCTCCTGTATATTGTATATAACTACTAGACACTAAATAGTAATACAATCTACAACCAGACTCTACTACTCTACATTGACAAAA